CAATATGGCGGCGGCGATAAGGGGTGGATGGTGCCGCTGCTCCCGGGTGAGGTGCTGGGCGAGCGGAGGGGGGAAGGGAGAAGAAGGAAGGGGCGCGGCGCGATCCCGGCCTCGGGCTGGCCCCCGGGCCGGGCCTGGCCTGTGTGCTCCGGGGCTCCCAAGGGGCGGGGCCGAGCGGCATGCTTCGGCTTGGGGAGGGCGAGCCGGCGAACGCTCGGGGGCGAGGCCGTGATTGTGGCGGCCCGGCCTGGACCCCTCCGACCCCGACCTTCCTCGTCACCTTGGGGCCCGCGAGGCTTTCAGCCCTCCTAAGCCTAGCGATTTTGGGGCCCTGGGTGGGGGGCTGCTGCCCCGGAACGCGGCTACTCCGGGAAAGGGGTGGAGGGGCCACCGAGGTCTTGGGGCCTGCCGCCCGCAAGCACGACAGCTTAGGCCCTGAGCGACCACAGCCCCCTCCTGCAGATGAGGAAACTGAGGCCCACAGAGTTGAAGGGAGTAGCCCAAGGTCACACAGTAGTGTACGTTAGACTGGATAGGAACCTAAGTCCTGCCTTTGCAGGGGAGGGTTCTTGCCCCAGGTCACACAACTGGTAGTAATTGTCTGAGATTAGAACCCACGTCCAGTGCTTTCCTTCCTGGGCCATGCTGCCTTGTTTTAGACTTGAAAAAACTGAGGGCCACTCCTGCCAGTCTTTCCTCAGCTAGAGCCCAGGCCAGGGACAAGAGGGAGAAAATGACAAGGGAGGGTGATGTCACAATGTGAAAGCCAGCATTTGAGTTGAAGAACAGTAGAGTCAGGACTGGGCGGCAGTTGTGGGGGTAAAAGTTGGGGAGCGGTTTACTGGAGACTCAGTTTAGCTCAATATGTCATCGCTGTGCCCTGGCAGCCTAAAAGGCTATTTCAGAATCTATTGAAGAGAGTAGTAGGGCTCAGAATGAAAGATGATGGTCATTAGTCAGACCCTGTCATGATCAGTTCCCAACACATATTTTAAGAATATTGTCCAGCCTAAGAGTTTTTGGGGGATGGTGAAGGACCTTGAGTCTATGACATAAGGACCAGTTGAAAACTGGAATTCTTAGCCTGGGGTAGAGAGGACTTGGGATAGATATTTAATGGCTATCTTAAAGTGTTTGTAAGGCTCAGACCCTGAAGACAGATTAGATTAGACTTGTCTTGATTGGCCTTGGAGCAGAGCTAGGAGCAGTTTGGGTAGAAGTTACAGGGAGACATATTTAGCCTAGAATAAATAAAACTTCCTAAAAGTTGGAGCTACCCCTAAGTGTAATAGACTGCTGAGAGGTGCTGCGTTTCCCCTCACTGAAGATTTGCAAACAGAGACCAAATGATTACTTGTTGGGTCTGTGGTAGATTCCTGTGGAGGCTCATGTTGTATTAGATGGCCTCTGAGGGTCATTCAAAGCCAGCCTTTCTTACCTGGTTCTGACTGGGCTGCTTGAGGATTCTGCTTGTTCTTATCTGACCATATCCAAAGTGTTGTATTCAGTTCTGGGCTTAGCTTAAGAAAGAACATAGATAAGATGGAAAGTATCCTTGCCATAAGAGGATCAGTTGAAGGAACTGAGTATGTTTCAGCTGGAGAAGAGAAGGATCAGAGTGGGTGAAGGGACGTGACAGTAGTTTTCAAATATTGGAAACATTGTCATAATGAAAAAGATTGAATTTTTTGCCCTCAGAGGACAAAACCAGTAAAGTGTGGAAATTGAAAAGAGTTGAATTAGGACTCTGACAATTACGTCTATCCATAAATGGAATGGTCTGCCTTGGAAGGTAATGAGTTCTTCCATAGGAGCACTTAATGCGCAGTTAGAATGACCATTCGCCAGGAGTGTTAAATTGGAAACGCTCTTTCAGCTATGGATTGAACTGGGTGATTACTGTGGTTCCATCTAGTTCTAAACTTAGGTAATTCTGTGATTCTCTTCTCTGGGAGGGGATAAAATATTACTGGGGGAGAAGGTTGTGCATCTGTCTCAGAATTTATGTAAAATGAAGGAACCATATTATTGCCCTACAGTGCATCTTGGAATAGGAGCAGACTCTGTACACCTTTCACTCCCTGTCCTTGCTCAGCCCTTCAGCAGCAACATAGGATATACTAAGTATGAACCCAGCTCCTCCTAAAACTGACACAACTCAGTCTCTCCTATAGCTGGACGTGCAACACAAAAGTTATCGCAGAACTGTATCACTGAGTTTCCAGGGACTTAAAAAGTCAGAAGCAGTTGAATCTTGTGGCATTAGTGGTCTGATCTAAAAGCATTAGAACAAAAGACCAGGGTTCTGATCCTGGCTCTGTCTGTAATCAGTGAAAGAAATGGGGGGAGGGGAGGAAACTGGGGCCCAGAGAATGGAAGGGGACTTACCCAAGTCACACATCAGGTTATAGGTAGAGCTGAGATTACCACCAACGCCCATCCCACTGCCTCCTGCTATTCCTAGAAACAAAAACTTATGTAGCCTCAGATTCTGACAGAGCATTAGAAATACAGACCTAGAAACACAATGAATTCTGTCTTTTCGTGTTTGTTTCTATAAACACGTAAAGTCATTGTGAACTCAGAAAGAGTAAGAAAATGAATCTGAATGGAGTAACAGAAGGCAGTGATTGGAAAGGTGGAACTAGTAGGAGTAGCACGGCTATAATAGAAGTACGTCAGTGGAGACAGGAAGGAAGGAAGGAGCTTTCGAGGGAGAAGAGGGAAGGCAGGGGAAGGAAAAGGTTTCTGGCTGAAGATCTTCATCAGCAGTTTTTTGACTACCTTAGGTCTCAGCTTCATAGAATTTAGAGTGGGAAGGGGTTGGGCTATGCTTTGGGGATTATTTCCTCCAGCTCCTTCATTTTATAGGTGAAAAAAATGAGGCCTAAATAAGTAGTGATTTTTTTTTTCAAAGTCACACACACACAGTCTAAATACCAGAATGAGAGATTCTAATCCAATGTGCTTGACACTAAACTGGGGTGCCTATTCATCTCTCATAGGTCCAAATTTAAGTGGTAAGAAAGTCGATGAAATTCTGATCTTGGAAATTAAGAGATCTGGGATTTCCCTTTCTTTGTTCTGACAGCCATTTCTTTCTCAGTTTAGGCAGGTTTTATCAATGTAGGTAAAAATAACTTTCGGTGTGAATTGGTGTTAGTTTTTAATAGGTTTTGTAAATTTACTAGGTTTCCTCTCAGATAGGTGTTAAGTCAGTTAAAATTAGCAGTAAATAATGGGAAAAGGGGCTGGAAGAAGGGTTGGAGCGATCAGGCAAAAAAAAGGGAAAGAGACACAGTGAGGGGAAGGGACACAAAGAAGAATTAAAGAACAGTTGATATGAAGGTTTAAATAAATAACAAAGGAAGCGATCACCTTTTACCCAAGCTAAAGAAATTCTGCTATAGCTCCCACTCTTTCTGTGACCTAGGAGCCAGAGTGTACCTTATGCAGATCCCAGTTGTGGTATCTCATTTTATTCCTTTTTCCTCTTTATTAGGCATAGGACAGATTGATAAGAAGATTCTTATTCTTTCTCCTCCCTCCAGTGTTTCATTCCACAGAGGTAAAATAATAATTCCTTTTTTTTTTTTACTCTTTCTCCCCTGATTTTAGAGATGCCTTGGCAGTGGGACCCAGTTTCTCTCTGGCTGGTGCCCTGTGCCAGTGTCTTATGGCCCTGTCTTTCGAATATGCAGTCCAGGCTTAGAACTGCCGCTGGTAAGTAAAGCAGATTTCCTCTGCTCTCCAGGGATCTTGGAGGGGGAAAAAGGGACACTCCTGGGAGAGATCAGAAAGTGATCTCTTTTGGCAGTATGGAGTGGTGGGGTTGCTGAGAAAGCTGCTAGCACAGCAGCTGAAGCTCCCAAAGGATGCTTATTAAGTGCCTGGGCAGAATATTTATTTTTGAAGGTAGCATGCTACTCAAGTTCGTCGTAGCATTCTACTTACATGAGCTCAGAATTGTGTGACATTATATGCAATCATACCATATTCAAAATTCATTCAGCAAAGCCTGGCTTAATGCCTTTCATGTGCAGGCTGCTGCCCTCAGTGCTAGGGAAGGGAGGGAGAGGAATACAGAGATAAATAAGGCCTAATCTCTGCCTTCATGGAGCTTATGGTTCAGTAGGTGATACAACACACACAGGTTAAATGCTGTTTGTTAGAGAAATTGATGTGAGAGAGGTACAAACCAAGTACAGGTAGAGAAAATCCCTTCTGTCTTGAAGTTCTTGAAGGGTGGATGGAAATTGTGTAGGTGTTTGGGCAGAGGAGTAGCATGAGGGCAGGAGGTGAGAAAATGCAGTCTGAGTTTGGGGAAGAATCTCATTTGTAGGGAAAAAATCTGGAACGATAGGTCAGGGCCAGACCGTGCAGGGCTAAGGGACTTGGATGTCATGGCACTGTCGGAATATGTGGAAGGTTTTTTTAGCAGAGGAGTAGCCCATCATGTACAAGTGGGTGTGGGGACTCAGTTTATAAAGATCTCAAGTTTGAACATTAGTCCCAACACTGATTGTGGAAAATGCTTGTGTGAAAAGTGTAGGATCATATGAATTGAAGCAGGAAGGGAATGATGCAATAATCTTGTCACGTTCCCTCATTTTACAATTGGGAAAATATGAGGCCCACGGTGGTGAATTCAACAAATATTAAGTACCTGCTGTGTCTAAGGAGAGACTTAGGGTGCATAATGAATAACCATCTTGTCTTAGACTTAGGAAAATACAGATTCAAGTCCTTCTTTTGGCCCAGACTCCGTGGCATTGTGAGCAAATTATTTTCAGTACCCCTGGCAGCTCTAAGGCTTTAAGTTGAGAGAGGGTGCCCACTTGTATTACAGTAAAGATTCTGCACTGATGATGTCATAGGTCAAAAAAAAAAAGAGATATGTAAGTTACTGTACTAGGGATACAAAATAAAAGGAAAATAACTCCTTCCCTTGCAAAGCTTGCACCCTACTGGGTGTGTAGCATACAAACATGAAACATCCATAACATGGTAATTTGGGGTGGGGGAAAAAGCCCAAACAACTGGGGAGATGAGGAAAGACTTCACAGGGGAAGCAAAAAAGTTGAATCCTGAAGGGAAGGTGAATAAATCAGAAAGATGGAGATGGGGAGGGGGATGACTTGTGAAAGTACAGGGTTGTGGGAGATGTGATGTTGAATTAGCAAGACAGTTGGTAGGTCAAAAAGCTTTCCCAGTGATCACAAAGGTAGCAAGTAGGAGATTGAAGACTCTAAATCCAGAGGTTTTTCCACTGTCTCCAGCCCACAAGGCTGATTGTACATGTAGATGGATTGGGAACTGGGTGAATAGGCTAGCCCAAGGACTAGTACTTAAGGGTTGCTTGTCAGGTTGGAGGACATTTCCAGTGGAGTGCCCCAGAGATCTGTGCTTGGCTCGGCATTCTTCACCATTTTTATTGACTTAGATAATGGAATAGATGGTATTTATCTCATTTGCAGACAATACAAAGCAGGAAAGAATAGCTTTCACGCTGGATGACAATCCTGGAAGACTAGAACACTGGGCTATCTCTAATAGGGATAAATGCCAAGTCCTCTTAGACTTGGATTCAAAAAATTACCTTCCCTAGAAGATGGTAGAGGTATGGCTAGGGAGCAGTCTGAACAGCTGTAGAAATTGCATTGGATTGACCTTGTGCTCAATAAAAGTCATTTGCAGCAGTCAGGGAAGCCAGTAGAATCCCAGTCTTCATAAAGAGAGGCCTAGTTCTTGGAGTTTGAAAGGGGATAGTCTCGCCAACCTCTGCCATGGCCCTATCACATAATGGAGTGTTGTGTTCTTTTCTGGGCATAACCTTTTAGTTAGGAAGGAAAGTAATTAGATAGTTGAAGTTTCCAGAGGAGTGCAAAATGGTTACAGGGAATGAAGAGCAATTGAAGAAATAAGGGATGTTTATCCTGGAAAGGAGAATGCCTAGATAGAACATCATAGTCTGTGTATCTTCACATATTTGAAGGGCTGTTATGGATATGAGGGTAATATTTAACTTGTTCTACTGTGTCTAAGAAGTTAGAACCAAGAGCAATGAATAAAAGTTGAAAAGAAATAACATTTAGACTTAATGTAAGGAAAAAATCTTCCTAATAATTAGATCTATCTCAAAAGGAAAACAGTATCCCAGAATGTAAGTGAATTCCCCTGATCTTGAAGCAAAGGCTTGTTGTTTACTTGATTTTTTTTGTGGGGGGCAGAAGGTAGAGGGGAATTCTTGTTTAGAAATTGAGTTAGATGATGTCTGAGATCTTTCCAGCTCTGAGAGTGCAGAGACTTCTCTCCTGAGATCTGGACTTATAGTTCCAACTGTCTGTGGAATGTAGAGTCATAGAAGAGACCTTTAAGATCATCTAGTCTTAACCCCTTTTTTATAGAGGAGCAAACTGAGGTCTAGAGAGGGTAAGTGAGTTGCTTAAAGCCATGCAGCTAAGAGGAAACAACTAGGTTTTCTGCCCAGATCTTCTAATGAAAAGCTCAGCTTTCTTTTTATTACATCATGCTCCCTGTTCACCTGAGCACTCCACTCATATCTAAAGCTCCATATTTATAAAACCAGAATTATCCTCTTTGAAAACCTTTTTTTGGCTTCCATGTTTCCATCAGTGGAACTGCCACTCATTTACCGTAGTGAATTGTACACAGTGCTTGTGACTCCAGAGTCAGCTTCAATTTTTTTTCACCCCACCTCTCTTCCCCCAAGTCCCCACCTTTCCATTTTCATTACCATCATGCACATTCACCTTGTTAACCTCTTGTAAATAGTCTCTCTGTCCTCTGTTTCTGGGTATTTTCCCCTCCCTACTACCTGCATCCTCAGTCTATCTCTTATTCTGCTGCCAGACTCATCTATCTCCTGGACAGCTGGGATCACATCATTTCCTGGCTTATGAACCTTCAGTGATGGTCTATCCCCTAGTGGATGAAGTCAGATATTCGAGACTTTCTATAATCTAGTACCAACCTACTGCCTTTTTGGCCTTACTGAAAAATAATTCTGTCTGTCTATCTGTCTCTCTTTCTTTCTCTCTCTCTCTTTCTCCCCCCCTCCCTCTTCCCACCCTCTTCCCTTCTCCATGCTTAGGAGCAGCTAGGTGGTACAGTGCATAAAGTTCTGGGCCTGGAGTCAGGAAGACTTGTCTTCTTGAGTTCAAATCCAGCCTCAGATACTTCCTAGCTATGTGACCCTGGGCAAGGCACTTCACCTTTTTTGCCTCAGTTTCTTCATCTATAAAATGAACTGGAAAAGGAAATGGCAAACCACTCCAGTATCTTTGCCAAGAAAACCGCAAATGGGGTCACAAAGAATCAGACATGACTGAAAAGTAAATGAACACAGTTTATGCTTAAACAAAACAACTGTTCTTGCCTGTGCTTTCCTGCTGCCTCCATGCTTTTATTTGTGTTGTTCCCTACACGTTCGTGCACATATGCACCCTATACACACGTGCACATAACAGATACTGTTTCCACCTGTTGAAGTCTCTTTCAAAGCCCAGCTCAGATGTCACATTATTATGTCTTTCACTTTTTTTGTGCCTGTCTTACTGCTCTTGTTAATCTCTTAGAGGGCAGGTGCCATGTTTTAATTCTTTGTATCTCCCCAGCACTGAGCACATGGTTGGCACCCTGTAAGTTAAAGGAATGAAGCACCCTGTAAGTTAAAGGAATGAAGCAGCCAAGGTAGTGCGACTTAGACTGCCCGTTGTCAGCCTTTTTCCAGTGCTTTATTATGTCCTTCTCTTTCTAGTACACTGTGCTTTGTGGATGACATGAAATTGGGAGGGATAGTTACTATGATGGAAGACTGAATCAAGAGCCCAAAAGATCACTATAGGCTGGAGCAATGGGCCATAACTGAGAAGATGGCATTTAAATTTGCATTTAAGGGGTAAATGTAATTTTAGTCTGCATTTAGTCTGGTTCAAAAAAGGGAATTGTGTAGTATGGGGGAGATGTGGCTAGCTACCAGTTCATGCAAAAAGACCAAAGGTTTTTAGGTGACTACAATGTGGTTCAACCTGAAAAGCTAATGAAGGGGGGCGGAGCCAAGATGGCGGAGGGAAAGCAGTGACTTGCTAGAGCTCTCCCCCAAAGCCCTCCAAATGCCTACAAAAAATGACTCTAAACAAATTCTAAAGCAGCAGAACCCACAAAGAAACAGAGTAAAACAAATTTCCAGCCCAAGACAACCTGGATGGTTGATCAGAAAGGTATATCGCGCTGGGCTGGGAGAGGAGCGCAGTTCGGCGTGGGCGCGCAGGCCACAGCGACCCTGGAGCAGGCCTCAGAGGACTGAATCGTGGGCAGCTGTGGCAGTTTCCAGACTTCTCAACCCACGAGTGCCAAAGACAACTTAGAAGGTCAGTGGGAAAAGTCTGTGACTGCGGTGAGAGAAGAAGCTAGATCTCAGCCACCCCGAGGGAAGTGGCTGCCTTCTGAGCTTCAGGCCCGCAGACTGAGGGGGAATCGAGTGGCTGATCAGAGGGGGATTGCAGGGATCTCTTGCTTTGCCTGTGCTTGGATCTGGGTCACAGTTCTGAGGGGTGGTCCTGGGGCGAGGAGGAGCGCTGGCATGGTGGAGCTTGTTGTGGCGGTGGAGAGGAAACACCTTGCCCCTTATCATGCCATCTTGGAAGAACTGACACTTTTCAGGTCCCTAAAAGTATCTCTGAAAACAGAGATAAACAGATAAAACAGAGACAAACCCCCGAAGCTTGAGACAGTACATTTCTCCACATTGGAAACAGACTTACCTTAACAAAGAGTTTAAAATTCAAGTGATTGGTTGTGAGCATGAGCAAGCAGCGCAAAAAGAGTCAGACTATATTATCTTACTTTGGTGACAAAGAAGATCAAAACGTACAACCAGAAGAAGAAAACAAAGTCAAAGCTCCTACATCCAAAACTTCCAAGAAAAATATGAACCAGTCCCAGGCCTTGGAAGAGCTCAGAAGGGATTTTGAGAAGCAAGTAAGAGAAGTAGAGGAAAAACTGGGAAGAGAAATGAGAGTGATGCAAGAAAATCATGAAAAGCAAGACGACAGCTTGCTAAAGGAGACCCAAAAAAATACTGAAGAAAATAACACCTTAAAAAATAGCCTAACCCAAATGGCAGAAGAGGTCCAAAAAGCCAGTGAAGAAAAGAATGCCCTAAAGAGCAAAACTGGACAAATGGAAAAGGAAGTCCAAAAGATTACTGAAGAAAATACTTCCTTAAGAATTAGAATAGAGCAATTGGAAGCTAGTGACTTTATGAGAAATCAAGACACTGTAAAACAAATCCAAAAGAATAAAAAATTTGAAAACAATGTGAAATATCTCATTGGAAAAACAACTGACCTGGAAAATAGATCCAGGAGAGAGAATTTAAAAATTATTGGACTATCTGAAAGCCATGATCAAAAAAAGAGCCTAGACATCATCTTTCAAGAAATTATCAAGGAAAACTGCCCTGATATTTTAGAACCAGAGGGCAAAATTGAAATTGAAAGAATCCATCGATCTCCTCCTGAAAGAGATCCCCAAAGCAAAACTCCTAGGAATATTGTAACCACATTCCAGAGTTCCCAGGTCAAGGAGAAAATATTACAAGCAGCCAGAAAGAAACAATTCAAGTATTGTGGAAACACAATCAGGATAACACAAGATTTAGCTGCTTCTACATTAAGGGACTGCAGGGCATGGACTATAATATTCCAGAGGGCAAAAGAGATAGGATAACAACCAAGAATCACCTACCCAGCAAAACTGAGTATAATTCTTCAGGGAAAGAAATGGTCATTCAGTGAAATAGAGGACTTTCAAGCATTCTTGATGAAAAGACCAGAGCTGAATAGAAAATCTGACTTTCCAATACAAGACTCAAGTGGAACATGAAGAGGTAAACAGGAAAGAAAAATCATAAGAGACTTATTAAGGTTGAACTGTTTACATTCCTGCATGGAAAGATGATGTTTGTAACTCCTGAGACTTTTGTCAGCATTAGGGTAGTTGGAGGGAAAAAATTATATGTATGTATATATTTATAGATAGATAGATAGATAGATAGATAGAGGGCACAGGGTGAGTTGAAGATGAAGGGGTCACATCTGGAGAATAAAATGAAGGGGTGAGAGAGGATTATACTGGAGAAGGAGAAAGGGAAAGGTAGAACAGAGTAAATTATCTCACAAAAAAACAAAAAGGCTCTTACAGTGGAGGGGAACCAGGGGAAGCTGAGAGGAAATGACTGAATCTTATTCTCATAGGATTTGACTTAAGGAGGGTATAACATACACACTCAATTGGGTATGGAAATCTGTCTTAGCCTACAGGAAAATAGGAGGGGGAGGGGACAAGAGAGTAGGGGGATGATAGAGAGGAGGACAGATTGGGAAAGGGGGTAATCAGAAACAAATACTTCTGAGGAGGCACCAGGCTCAAAAGAAAGAAGAAATGGGTGGGCGGGATAGGATTAAGGGAAATAGAGTTAGTTTTCACAGCATGTCTACTGTGGAAGTGTTTTGCATAACTGCACATGTGTAGCCTATATTGAGTTGCTTGCCTTTTCAAAATGAGGGTGGGTGGGGAAGGAGGAAGGGAGAATATTTGGAACCCAAAGTTTTAAAAACACATGTTTAAAAAAAAATGTTTTCTGGGAACTGGGAAATTTTTCATGCAACTGGGAAATAAGAAATACAGGAGGTGTACAGAAATCTGTCCTGCCCTACAGGAAAATAGAAGGGGAAGTGGGGGAGACTTAGCAGGGAAAGGAGACCAGGGGAAGGGGTATTCAGAATGCATGCCATCTTGGGGTGGGGGGAGGGGCAAGATGGGGTGAAAATTTAGAACTCAAAATATTGTGGAAGTAAATGTTAAAAACTAAAAAGAAAAAAGAAAAGAATTTAAAAAAAAAAGAAAAGCTAATGAAACATAAGGCTACATCAGTAGAAATATAAAAGAATCAATAGAAATCTGGTTTCCAGAACAAAGGAAGTTAATTTTAGGTCCCACTATCCTCCTCTTTGATCAGATATTATCAGGTGGACTGTGGTCAGTTCTGGGCAGTCTTTAGGAACTGGGATATTAACAAACCAGAGTCCAAAGAGAAGAAAGTGACTTATCATTTTTTCTATTTTAAAAATAGAAACTAGATTTCACTTGATAAGTTGAATATTTGATTCACATTCAGTCATGTTGGGGAAGTTCTGTGCTTCTGGTTTTTCCCATGAGTAATGATGATTTTCTTTAAATTTTTTTAGGCAAAGTGTTATTCTTCTGGAAGCAGGAAAAGTTTCCTATCTGGCTTGTTAGAAAATATCAAACAAGAATTAGCAAAAAACAAGGAAATGAAAGAAAGTATAAAAAAATTCAGAGATGAAGCTAAGAAGTTGGAAGAATCAGATGCACTTCAGGAAGCAAGAAGGAAATATGTAAGTCATTTAACAGAACATGGTGCTGGTTCACTTTGTGTTTTTGAGAGTGGGAGAGAATGGAGATTTGAGAAGGGAAGTTCATAAAGTCACAGAATGTCAGAGCTGAAAAATGCATCAAGTCCCCAAAGGGTCTTTTTGTCCCAGCTCTGTGCCTCAGGAAAGGATATTATTTGTTTAAGCTCACATGCCTGGTTAGTAGCAGAGCAGATCTGAACCGAGGTCTCATGGCTTCCAGCCCATTATTCTTTCTATTTCACCAGCTAATAAGGTTTGATTAGATAAACTGCCTTTAGATGTAAGTAGAATAAACTGCTTTAGGAGACAGCGCATTTCCCCTTAACTGGAGTTTTTTTGAGCAGAGCCTAGATGGTCCCTCATCAAGAATATTACACAGGGAATTCTTAAGACCTCTGAAGTCCTTTCAGACTTTTTCAGTTCTTCAGATACTTACTGGTAGAGTCATGTGAGGACAGGACCTGTGTTTGATTTTCTTATGCTTTTTTCCCTAAAGAAATTAAATTTTAAAAATTTATACTATAACTAAAGAATTCTAGCTCAGCTCCCATTACTGTGCAATGAATTTCCATTTTGTTGATGGATCTCATTGGACTTGAAATTTTTAACGATTTGTTATATAGCTTGTGTGCTACTCTTAGCCTGTCAAAGGCTTTGATTTAACTGAAGAGCCACAGTAAAGATGCAAGAGGGAATTATGCCCTTGGTTGCAGCATTATGGCCAGACCTGTTTTATTTTTATTTCTTAATTTTACCTCAGTAATAGCCTGTTTGTTGGGTGACATTAAAGACCATGGAATTCTCATGGGACAGACAATTTGGATATGACCCATAACTGGTTTGTAATGGGATTTAAGCAGTATGGAACATTAGATTTTATCATGTATAATAGCAACAAATGATATAGTTGGGGATAAGAGTGGAAAAAAAATTGGGGTGTGTTGATCTGCCATGAAGTGGGCAGGGAAAGAGATACAGTTGGAGGATATAAGGAGTTCTTTATCCTGGAATGGTTTTGCTACCATGTGTTTAGGCTGTGACAAGAGGAAAATTACCTTCCCCTTTGTCCAGAAAGGTGTTATGGGCAGGTCGATTACTCTGGGGCTAGAATGAGACTCAAGAAGTCCTGGGCCAGCAGCTTTCATTTACCTGCTATAGTAAGAAGGCTGGTTGTCTGAGGCTTGCTCCCTCTCCATGCAGTCCCTGTACCACAGCCCTGGAGCAGCCCTGAGACCCCCTCTAGTTAAAGAAGAAAGTCAGGTCTATGAGCATGGAATTTATCAGGGCAGAAGGACTTACAACAGGCTGTCAGGGAAAGAATGAACTTTTCTGGTTGTTTCTAACCCTGTTAAAAATTAAATATAATTGGTGGCTAATTTCTGTCTTAATAAAACTGATCTTCTCTATTATAGAAAACCATTGAGTCTGAAACAGTCAAAACATCTGAAGTAATTAAGAAAAAAATTGGAGCATTCACTGGTACAGTGAAAGAGGTAAGAGACTAGAACATGGCCTTGAGTAGGGCCTTCCTCTGATTTCCACTTTTGTTGTCTTCACTGCTCACTACCACCTCCTGGTATCAGGACCTTCTCCAAGATGGTTCCATCCTCCCTTCTAGCTTCAGTCTCACTATTCCTTCCCTTCATTCATTCTGTGTTTCAGCTGAACTACATGACACTGTCTCCCAAATGTGTTCTGTTTCTGTCTCTGTACAGAGTCTTGGCTCACACTGTTCCTTATCCTTTCCTCTTAATTTCCTACCTGCCTTTAAAGTCCAACTCAAGGGCTACTGTCTCCATAAAGCCTTCTTTGATATTTGCTATTGTGTAACACCCTCCACCTTATAACCCACATAGCACTTTGCCTCTCCATTGTGCATCTCTTCTTGCTATGTATTATAATTAATCTGTTTGTATCATTTGTTTGTACCAGACTTTAAGCTCCCAGAGGGCAGGTTGCATATTTTCTTTAATTTTTGTATTTTCACTAGCTTTAAGCACAGTGTTTTACCCTTAGTAGGCATTTAATGAGTGTTTGATGATGAAATGAATAAATACTTGTAAGTCAAGAAAGTTGAAGAGAGCTTACTCAGAATGTGGACTTTGGTTCCTAATCCTAAACTTTACAAAAATTAGTGTATTGGATTAAATTAGGAGGGTCCAAGTCAGTCTTTTGAGAGTCAGTCACTGTTTTTTGAATTGCTTTTAGACACAAATATTCTTTTTCCTCTCTCCTCCCCCTTGTCCTTTCTTTCCCTCATTTTCTTCCTCCTCCTTCCCCTCCCCCTTTGAACTGCTCAAGTGTTGACTCTTTCAAAAAGGCTTTCCTGATTTCCCAAATCACTCTGTATTTATTTTGTATTATACTGTGTTTGCTTATCTGTAAACATGTATCCCTCCTGTAAAATGTAAGTTCTTGCATTGGTATTTGTATCCGCAGCACCTGGTACAATGCTTGTGTGTTGTAGGTATTTAATAAATGCTTGTTGATTGATTGGTGTGTGTAAGCAAGCTGAATTGTGTTAAATGCCTGAGGGTATGTTTTGACCTGCTGGCTCCCTGGTTTGTGTGCTGGATGCCTAGGTTGCTGTGGACGTGGGGGGGCGGGGGGGGGGACGACAATCTGAGAAGTTAGAACTGAGCCAGGATGCCAAGAATGCTCGTTACACCTAGGCTACCTCTTGTTTTGGGGGAGTCCTTGAGGGTGGGGGAGGACGAGGCCACTGCTGGGAGTTGTTCTGTATGGACTTATGGGGAAATCCCATTTTGGCCTGGGCTCCCCTAGAATCCTCTAGACTTTCAGGACTGAACTGGGGACTGATCTGAAGCCAACCCTATCCTCCAGATCAGCACTGGGCCTGAGTGAATCTATTGGGAATAAGGCCACTGGTGACAAAAGGCAATATGTGTTATGCTTTTCTGTAGCAAGGAGCTTCTGTACTGCCAGAGGAGAATTGGCAAGGCCATGGAATATAGGCTGTATTGAGGGCCCTAACCACTTTTGTCTCTTGTGCTAGAGTTTGGATGAAGTAAGTAAAAGTGACATTGGCCGAAAAATTCTAGAAGGCATGGAAGAAGCAGCCAAAACAGCCAAGCAGTCTGCAGAGTCAGTGACCAGAGGTGGGGAGAAGCTGGGCAAAACGGCTGCTTTCAAAGCCATATCTCAGGTAAGCCAGTGACTGGGGGAGCTCAGAGGATATGCTTTGTTCACATGGTATCAGGTCATAGGTTCTGTAGCTGGAAGGAGCCCTAGAGTTCAGCTCATCCACCACCCTTACCCTCGAGATGAGGAGGTAGGGGCCCAGAACAGTGAAGGCTCCTAACATTGGGCACATGGTAGAGCTGGAGCTGGAATGCCTTGGGTTTGCTTTTCTCTCCTTTGGTCTTTAATCATTTTTTTAAATTTGCCTGATGGAGAGCCTGAGGCAAAAAGCATTCTGATTTTTTCAGCTAAATAGCTGATCAGGCTAAAGAAAGGCACAGAGCCTCCCAGCTGTTCTTCAGACTGATTGGCTTTGACACCTAGTGGTCTTCTCAGAAGTGGAATGGAGTTTATTAAGTCAAATGAGCTTCATTGTCCAAAAAACGGGCAACATAAGGACACAAGAAAATAAAGGCCAAAGTCTAATATTGCAGATACATAATAGTAATGTTCATGGTTGCATGAGTAGAGATGCTGCCTACTCGTTGTTCCCTGTAATTCAAGTTCAAGAACTTTTTGTATTGTCATCTTCAGCAAATCTCAGTAATTTAGTAGAGGGTTTGGGAGGGATTCAGTCTAGCCTCCCATGGATCCAGAAACTAGTAGTGCCTTGAAAACAGGTGATAGCTTTTTGTGATCACCTGAATGGTTATGCTTTTCCTTAGGGAGTTGAAAGTGTGAAGAAGGAACTAGATCAAAGCGTACTAGGACAAACAGGCCCCTACCGAAGGCCAGAGAGACTTCGAAAACGGACTGAGTTATCTGGAGAGAAAATCAAAGAGGATAAAGTATTTGAACCCAATGAGTAGGTATTTGACAAACTAAATCCCTTAGGTTATTGACTACACCTGGCTTTGATTTTTTAACCATTTTATTTTATGTAGGTAGGAAAAGAAGCTGACCCTGTAGCTTGATCCCATGTTCTAGGCCCTCGTGACTAGAGTGTTGTTTTATTCTGGGGTTATTTTCAGTTATCTGTCTCTAACTTAATTTTCTGAGATGGTCCAGAAGAGAGTTCATGGGTCTGGTTCCTGTTTTTTCTACCAAGGATCTCATGCATCTCTGCATTGGATTCACAGAGCCCAGATCATGAGATCTGGAAGATGGAAGGGATCCTAGAAGTCAGCCAGTCTATCCCCTAATTGAGCCCAGGAAGGGGGGAATGATTTGCCCATGGAAGAGCTGGGGTTTGACCTTGGTCCTCTGGCTGCAAATCCCAATGTTGTTTCCGCTTCACCGTGGAGCATCCCTTTTGGAATCAGAAACAACAAATGAAGGGAGCTTCTTAATTGGGTACATTTACATATTGAGTTTTATACACACACACACACACTCTCTCTCTCTCTCTCTCTCTCTCTCTCTCTCTCTCTCTCTCTCTTACGTATATCAGAGCAGTGGATTCATCTGTGACAAAAGACAAGGGGTAGGATTGTTGTGATCTGAAAAAGGCAGGAAACAAGCAGTAGATAGATGCATGTGTGGGCTGGACTGGGGCATTTTGACCATCGATGGTTTTCCTGGAAGTATCTATCATGTTCCCTTTTCAGAGCTCAGGCCAAGGTTACTGATGAAATGAATGCCTTGTGATTTTCCCCAGGGAAGCAATGGGAGTTGTGCTGCACAAGGATTCAAAATGGTATCAACAGTGGAAAGATTTCAAGGACAACAATGTCGTCTTTAATAGTAAGTGGCAAAAAACTTTCTTGACCTTGGGTCATTTGGGGTGCAGCAGCCACAGCATCCTGTCTGAAGTCAGCTTGGAGAAGGGTCTTTAGTCCTCTAGGGATAGGCCTGAGCCCTGTGCTGATAATGTTTCATCAGGGACTTGGAGAAAAGCAGGTGATAAGGATGGCTAACATGCTGGATGACAGGATACAAACAGATCTTAATAGACTTGAATAATAGGCTAAATCTAGATGCAATTGAAGTAAACATAAGTACTCTTCTTGGGTTAACAAAATCAACTTATAAACTCAAGATGGAAAAGGCTTGGTTAAACACCAGCTCATAAAAAAGATCTGGGTATTTCACTAGCCCATCAGCTCAGCATGAGTCACAGGGTAGCCCAGCAGCCAGGCGGGCTAATGGCATCTTGGACCGCATAGAGAGACACAGTGACTGAGAATGAGGGTCCTAATGGACCATATTTGAAAGGTTGTGTTCAACGTGGGGTATATTTTATTTTATTTTATTTTTATTTTGTTTTTTGTTTTTGGTGAGGCAATTGGGGTTAAGTGACTTGCCCAGGGTCACACACACAGCTAGTGAATGTTATGTCTCTGAGGCCAGATTTGAACTCAGATCCTCCTGACTCCAGGGCCGGTGCTCTGTCCACTGCATTGACAACTCCAGGTCCGGTTCTCTGTCTGCTGCATTGACAATGTAAGAAGAATCCAGGGAAAAAAGACCAGCATAGCATGATAGAGATTAGAGATTCTGCCGTATTGGGGTTCATTGAAGGAGCTGGAGAATTAAAAGGCTTGGTGGGATGTTATCCTTCTTCACTTTGACCCCAGAGGACAGAACAAGGAGCAACAGGTGGGAGTTATGGATTGTCAGGTTTTGCCTCAACATAAAGAAAATTTTCCTAACAATCAAAGCAATTTAAAAATGTGCTGGACTAGAGATGGCACCTCCCCCTCGTTGGAGATTTTTGGGTAAAAGCTGGATAAACTCTTGTTGGTGGGTGTTGTCTAGAAGATTCTTGGTCAGGTGCAGGTAGATCTAGATGGTTTCTGAGATTCTGTCAGTCAATTGTCAGGCATTTATTAAGTGTCTGCTTCATGCCAGGCAATGTGCTGGACTCTGAGAATATACAGATAGAAAAAATCCCAACTCTTCTTTGACCTTAAGGTAAAAAGGGAAGAGGGAGGAGAGGGTGGAGTTAAAGGAAACACAGAATTTCAGAGTTGGACAGGTCCTCAAGAGGCAGTACGATTAGTGGAAACAGTGCCAGCTTTGGAGTCAGGAAAACTTGGGTTCAGATCTTGATCCTGACTCTGTGACCAGGGGCCTGTCACTTAACCTCTGATTACTGACCTTCCTAAATGCTATGTAAATGTCATTGTTATTACTACATGGAGACAGCTATTGTATCCCCCTAAGTTTTCTCTTCTTTAGGCTAAGCATCACCTTAAGGAAGGGCATAGAATCTCCAGTACCTGATGTGGAGATTTTGTCCAGCTTCTTGGAGGGTACCTGCTGGAAAAGAGTGAGGGAGAAAATCTTTGATCTACAAGGTAGGGAGATACCTGGAAGAGCTCTTGTCACAACAGACGCCCCTGTCATGGCAGCAGGCAAGGAGGTGGTTCTCCTGAGGGTGTTCCATCTTTATTGGTAGAAAGTTGAGAAAACAGGATCCTTCATCTTAATCACTGATCATTCAGGCAGCTGGTTTAATTCCCCACCACACCCACACAGAGCACTTTGTTGCCTTGGCTGGTAGTGTTTGCATTCTCAATGAGCTATGGAATTAGTTGGGAAAGGTCTTTTTTTTTTTTTTCTTAAATAAATGGTCCATTTTTTCATGCTCTTTCAATGTATTGATCAGTTGTGCTGGTATTTTTTCCCTCTTGAAACGCTGTTTGGTATATGGGCTGGTTCTCTGCAGGTAAATGCTTGGTATAACTATAATGATGTAAAATAAAGAAGATATCAATTAAAGCTCATTTAAAGTAATAAACAACTGACCAAAAAGAAAAACACCAAGAAAGAGTGGTCATCAAGCCTTTGCCTGAAGGGATGAGAAAATATACCTTCCTCCCTTCTTTGTAAAGGATGGCAACTGTGGCTGCGGAGCATTGTGGAATACACACAATTTTTGCTTTACGTAAATTCATATTACACAAAATCATCTTTATATAAAGAATTCTGAAAGAAATTCCCATTCCTTCCACCCCTCCAAAAAAAAAAAAACTTGATTTTACTGTGCACTATTGGACACTCTCTCCATTCTTGCTCCTGCACTTGGTGCTCCATGGCCTCCTCCCCACCCCACTAAATGTGAAGATGAATTCCACTTGTCATCGATACATAGAATGTGTACGTGCATACAGACAACACAAAATCCAGTAGACTTGAGAGACAAGCAACTCCTGTTGCAAGACAACTCAGCAGGTATCACATCCAAATAGCCCTGAGTGAAACAAGACTGTCAAATGAAGGCCAGCTTACCAAAGTTGGAGCTGGATACATATTTTTCTGGAGTGGTCCCAGTGATGGAGAGCACTGTGAAGCTGGCATAGGTTTCACAATCAAAACTAATCTTAAGTCAACAGGTTTGTATGCCTTCCAAAAGGAGTTTATGACAGGCTCATGACAACGAGATTTCCCCTTGCAGGAAAGCACCGTACCACCATCATCAGTGTGTATGCTTCCACCAAAAGGAACCTCATTAAGGGTTCCTAATTCTGGGTGACTTTAACACCAGAGTAGACACAGACTATCAGACATGGCAGGCAGTCCGTGGGAGGAATAGAGTCAGCAACAGCAACAGTTACTTACTACTGAAGACTTGTGTCTCATGACCCTCTCATCACCAACACTGTCTTCCATTTACCTAAACACAATAAAACTTTGTAGATGCACCCTCACAGCAAACATTGGCATTTAATAGATTATGTCATTGTAAAGAGAAGAGATAGACAAGATGTGAGCATGATGAAGGTGATGTGTGGCACAGTGTTGGACAAATCATAGACTTACCCTCTCCAAGCCAAACATTTGCATTCAACAAAAGTGGTGGCCCCAAGGCAAGACAACTACCAGAAGACTTAATGTCAACAGATTAGAGTGCTTCTCCGAGTGCAGTTTGTTGCTAACTTGAAGGGAAAACAGCCAATGCATGATTGACAATGGTGGAGCAGAAAAGGAGCAGGGAGCTTTCAGAGCTTTGGTGTACAACACTACATTTACTTACCTGGGTCAGAACTCTCACAGACCTCAAGATTCATTTGATGAAAATGATGAGGAAATTCAGAAACTGCTGAATGGAAAACAAGAACTCCCCATTGTTTACTAGGAGGATAGTTCATCCATCTCTAATAAGGCAGTGTTTAACTCCATCAAAAGTAAAGTGCAGGGGCAGCTAGGTGGCACAATGGACAGAGCTCCAGCCTTGGAGTCAGGAGGACCCGAGTTCAAATTCGGCCTCAGAAACTTGACACTTACTAACTGTGTGATCCTGGGCAAGTCTCTTAACCCCTATTGCCTCACCAGAAAAAAGAAAAGAAAAAACAAGCAAGTAAAGTACAAGCAAAGCTTAGAAAGATGCAGGATTCCTGACTCAGTAAGGAGACAGATAAAATTCAGTTTTACATTGACAATAACAATCCAGTGTGCTTTTATGAGGCTATTTGTGGGTCAGAGACCTATATGGTGCATCAGCTACTCAGTGCTGATGGTGCCACATTGATTAGTGATATGTTCGTGTTCCTGGAGAGATGGGCTGAATACTTCCATAATGTTTCCAACAAACCATCATCATTCAGTTCTGAAGCCACTGGCTGTATACCTCAAGATAAAGTCAGTCCCTCTCTAGCCAGAATCCAACTGAAAAAAAGGTTTTGAATGCCATTAGGTTCCTCTCATTTGGCAAAGCTCCTGGTACTGATTCTATTCCAGATGAGATTGATAAGGTGGAGGTCCACTCTTCATAACAATGCTGACTGAAATCTCCTAGGTCATATGGCAAGAGGAGGTTATCCCTCAAGAATTCGAGGATGTCTCCATTGGCCATCTCTAGAAACGCGAAGGAAATAGACTGTCTTGTGACAGTGACGGTGCGGGTCTTATTCTTAGTCGTTACTGGCGAGATGGTTGCCAATTCTTAGTCGTTAACTGGCGAGATTGTTGCCAGAGTCCATAGACCAATCTCTTCACCTGAGAGCCAGTGTGGCTTCAGAAAGGGCTGGTATGGTGTTTGATGCCCAACAACTCAGGGAAAAATGCCAGGAGCAGAAGAGAGGACTGTACACAACATTCGACAATCAGACCAAGGCCTTTGGTACTATCAGTTGTGAGGGCTTGTGGAAAATTGATCTCAGAATTTGGTTGCAGTTCATCAGTATTGTATGTCACTTTCATGACAGCATGCTTTCCCAGGTTCTGGATAATGGAAGATGCTGTCTGTCTTGCTTTCCCGGGCAGCAGTGGAGTGAAGCAGGGCTGTGTGCTTGCCCCCATGCTTTTTACCATGATGTTTACAGCCATCTTACTGTATACCTTCAACAAGGATGAAAATGACATGAAGGTCAGCTACTGCACTGATGGCAAATTATTTAGCTTGAAAAGGCTATAAGCCAAGATTCAAGAGGAGAAAGAGTTGGGTGTGTGACTTTTTTTTCCCACAGTTTTTTCACAGTGCAGCCTCTGAGGCTGAGATGCAGCAGAGTATAGATCAGTTCTCTGCTGCTTATGCTAATTTTGGCCTACAGGAAAACAGAAGTTCTCCACCAGCCAGCACCCGGTACATCCATACATAGAACTATTGGTTACAACAAGTGGAGAAATTTTGGGTACTATGGTTAAGTTCACTTACCTTGGCACTATACTTGCAGCAATGTCCACATAGATGATGACATTGACATACACATTGCCAGAGCTAGCTCAGTGTTTTGGAGACTGACAGAAAGTGTGGGAGAGGAGATGGATTAGCCTGCCTAGTAAACTGAAGGTCTGCAGAGCAATTGTGCTGACGTTATTGTATGCCTGTGAAACCTGGACAGTCTACCAGCACCATGCCAGGAAACTGAGTCTCTTCCATTTGAATTGTCTTAGGAAGATTCTGAAGATCACCTGGCAAGATAAGGTAATAACCAGATACTGGGGTCCTTTCTTGAGCTGAACTGCCAAGCACACTGCAGAGAGGGTAATTTCAGTGGGCTGGCCATGTTGACCTAATGTTGACATAAGACAGTTTTATGGAGAGCTCACGCAGAGCAAGCACTCACGTGGAGCTTAGAAGAGGTGATACAAGGCCATCCTCAAGGTCTCTCGAGAACTTTGTGAGATTTGGGAGATACTGGCACAGGACCCCCCAGCGCTGGGTCCACATCAAAGAAGACATTGCTGTGTGTGCGAAGCAGAATTGCAGGAGCTCAAAAGAAATGAGATGCACAAACTTAGAGACGTCTGTCCACCCCAAAGGTTCATATAGACTGTGTGTGCCTGATCTGTGGTAGAACCTCGTGAGCTCATTGGTCCCATCAGCCCTAGTCAGACTCACTGTACATGCACTCCAACATAGTGACGTCATTTTGGTTCTCTTGGAATGCCAAGGACAGCAACCAGCCAATCAACAAAAGAAAGAAGGCTTCCCTGACCGGATCTTGGCTGCTGAGGCCCAGGCAGGGCTTTGGAGGAGGCTGTTGGTGGCTTCAGCCATGGCTTTGTTGGCTTCAGAACAAAAGGCAGTTAGATCTCACCTTTCCCTGTCTTCTCTTTCCGTTTTATTCACAAACCAAATTTTACTTTCTTGTAACCAGATTCGAATCAATTATGTGTAACAGTCACCTGAGTGCAAGAGGACGCTGACTAGGCATGAATAGGACATTATATACTTAGATTAGAACCAAACTGGTGAAACAAATGACTGCTCTTGCTACAATGTACTCGACAGCCCTGGGCACTGAAGAGGGGGTATAGGGCTATTGACTCTTGCTTTCTAGAACCTCAGTCTTTGCACACACAGAGCTCTTTACAGTGGCAGGCTGTGTGACCAGTGCCAAATAAGGGAAGTTAAGTCAGTAAGCATTTATGTGTATGTGCAAATCACTCAGGATACAAAGAGAGGTAAAAGAGCCCCTACCCTTGAGGGGCTCACAATCTCACAAGCAAAAATGTACATGCAAGCTGTATACATGAGAAATAGGAAATAAGAGGAAAGGCATTAGAATTAAAATGGGTTGGGAAAGGCTTCCTGTAGAAGATGGGATGTTAAACCAGGGAAATCAAGAAGTGAAGGTGAAGGAGAGAATTCTGGTAATGGAAGATAGGAAGTGCCTAGAGCTGAGAGATGGATTGTCCTGTTTGTGGAACAGTGAGGAGGGCCAGTGTTACTCAATCAGAGTACCCGGGGGAGATATAAAGTATAAAAGGAATGGAAAGATTGGGATTGGGGGAGGGGAATTGGTTACAAGGGGCTTTGAACACCAAACAGAGGATTTAGTACTTGATAAGAGATGATGAGGTCACTAAGTGATATGTAGAAGGATAAGAAATGGCCCAGTACAGAACCCTGTGGGCCACCCATAGTCAGTGTCACCCTTAAGGATCCAGCAAATGAGACAGAGTGGGCAGAGAGATGGGAGGAAAGCCAGGAGAGTAGTGTCCTGAAAACCTAGAGGAGAGAGTGATAGTGTCAAAGGCTGCAGAAGAGTCAAGAAGGATGAGGATCCAGCAAAGGCCACTGGATTTGAAAATCAGGAGATCACTGGCAACTTTGGAGAGGGCAGTTTCAGTGAAATAGAAGGTTGGAATCTAGATTTTAGGGGGTTAAAAAGAGGACGAAAGGAGAGGAAGTCACCTGTTGTAGATGGCCTTATCTGAGTTCATCTGTGGGAGAGATCAGTTGGAGGGGTTCAAGGAAGAAGGCTCCAGAGATAGAACATGAGACCCTGTGCTTAGACATTGGGAGGGATGGATTCCATCCTGAACTTCGCAAAGTAAATGAATGGAAAAGCTAATCATGTGCTAAGTACTGGGGTACAAACAGAAACAATATTCTCATGAAAGAAACCACACAAACAGGGGAGTGCTAACCAGGGATGGACACTTTAGTCCTCGTGAATGGAGACATAGGGGAGGAGCTTGCTTTAGCCCTTTGCCCAGTGGCAGAGTCCACTTGGTTGTGGTTCTTGTACTGAGGCTATATGAGTATGGCTGGGGAGCAAAAAGTGAAATGCGGCATGTTTGGGACCTTCCTGAAAGAATGGACCAGGGAGACTGGCTTCAGATATTTGAAAAGCCCTCATAGGCAGAAGTGTCTGGCACAAAGGAGGCCCTTCATAAATGCTTGTTGGTTAGGTGACCTTAGATGGCAGGCCCAGAAGAATGTAGGGAAGGTGCAGAGCAGCAGTTTTCTGACAGGAGAAAGAGAAGTCAAGGAGAGCTGAGCTTTTGAATCTAGCTAATTGGGAGAGTGCCATTGACAAAGGGGACCGTTTTAGTAGATGGCTTGGGTTGGGAGACAGCCTAATGGAGATGTGGGATTTGGATTGGGAGAGAGGTCATCTGTCTGCATTGGTCCAAGCATAGAGTGAAGCTCCCCAAGTTGTATTTGCCCCAGAGCAGATTTAAAAGTGCTTCCTCAAGCATTTGACTAATCTCAAGTACCCACTTGAGAGGGGTTGTCCTCTTCCTTGCTGACCCCTCATCAAGTCCTGCCCGCTGTGTAAAGCTGTTCACAGGAAGAGACCTTGTCGTCCGATCTGATCTCTTGGTGTTTAATGGCATAATTTTTGGATTGACATTGAACAACATAATTTGAGAAGACCCATTGAAACCTGAAGAAATGCACAGAACACGGCATTTGAAAGAAGTAGAATATTTGTGCTGTTTTGCTCAAGTTAATGTACATTTATGAACTCTTAGTTTATGGTGTCATGATCAACAGTATTTTTAAAATTTTTTCTCTTTAGGTGCTTGTGTTGACAGTAACTAATGTTAGAATGAATTTTTGAAATAAAGATAAACAGTTTATTCACAGGTCCTCCTATCTGCTTTGCTTTCAGGATTCTTTGAGATGAAGATGAAGTACGATGAAAGCGATAATGCCCTCATTCGGGCATCTCGAGCAGTGACAGACAAGATTACTGATTTAGTAGGTAAGCAGACCACCCTCCCCCAGGACCCAGGAACCGAGGGTGAGCACACTGCAGATACTCGTGACAAAGACTGCCATGCAGTTGGGAAGAGGAAGCTTCCAAAATCTGTGGTGCTGGGCCAGGTGTTGGGAGGTTAGTTGTACAGCCCGCCACTGGGGGTGGGACCCTGAGGCTTGATTAAGAATCTCATTCATCAGGTGGCCTGTTCTCGAAGACAGAGATGTCTGAAGTTCTGACTGAAATCCTCAAAGTGGATCCAGGTTTTGACAAAGATAAATTTCTGCAGCAATGTGAACGGGATATCATTCCCAATGTCCTAGAGGTAGGTGTTTCATGTGAGGCCCCTCAACACTTCTCCAGCATTTCTGCTTCTCAAGATTTTCAATTTCTTATGAAGGCCTATCAGTGAACATTCATCACTAACTGATCTGATTGAGGGACAATCCTAGTCCATCAGTATCCTTTGATTCTTCAACAAACCCATCAGGCATGTCATTGTTCTTAATTCCTCAGCTTTGGCTAATTAAAGATGAGGTTCATCCCAATCCCATCCCTGACTAGAGAAAGACTTTCAGGTTCTCAGAGTACTAATCACTTTGCATTTCATGTTTGATCAGTGGAAGCCCTGGCCTGGCTTGGCCTGGGACGTGCCTCAGCGAGTTGGGGAGGAGGGGATGGAGCAGCAAGGAGAGTTTGTCCCACAGAGAAACCGGGGCATTACTGTGAATCCTGCTACTGTTAATATAGCCCTCCTCTTTAAGGAAGTTTCTGACTTTCTTGAATGGTAGTGAGAGAATCTTATGATCATGCAGTTTGATAGATTGGGAAACTGAGACATGGGCAAGCCCCATTCAGGGGTAGATTTGAGGTTAGAACCAGGTTTCCTGGCTCCTGATTTGACTTGCTGCTGAACTCTTAACTGAACATTTTTGCAATTTTTCATATTCATCCATCAATTCAGCCAGTACTCTCTAGGTGTAGGTGAAGGAGATTCATGGGTGATTAGCCCCCTTCTCTCCCTAGCACCTCCCCCTTGTTTCCCACCTTTTGGACAGCGACTTGTGGTAGTTTGGGAAGATCGTACAAAAGCAGACTTCAGAGGGAGACTTAATTTGTTCTCACAGTTTTGTCTTTGCTTTCTCTTACCTTTCTTGCAGGCCCTTACCTCCATTTAGGACAAGAATCTCCCAATTTCTCTTTGCCGACTAACTGAAATCTGGTCACTTGTGTGTTGCAAAGCACACGTGCTGTGATGACCTGCTTCATTGATTATAGCTTTGCTGCCAGAAATAGAGATGATAAAGGAGGCTTGGGGTTGTGTGTTACGTCAGCATGTGTGTCTTTCTGGACTTTGGTTGGGTATTCCTTCCCTTTCTGATGAATTAGGCTGCAACTTTCATGTTGTTCGAGAGAGAGAGAGAGAGAGAGAGAGAGAGAGAGAGAGAGAGAGAGAG